ATGAAAACTAAAAAGCCGGCAAGGCAGTTTGGAAAGGCTCGGTGGAGCAGTGGAGCCGGCTCTCAACAGTGAACAGTCAACAGTCAACAGTCAACAGTTTCCATTTGCAAGATGGATTTGCTGGGGGTTTTTCTGGTCGTGTTCTAATTCAATCGCTCTGGGCAAGGTTGAATCTGACAATTAGGCAGAACGAACGATGACTCTTACCTTATTCTCAGGCCCCCTGCCCTGCCCTGCCCTGCCCTGCCCTGCCCCATTACGAGTTCTAGTTTATTGTAGGCGGCCTACTAGCCTCTACGCCGGCGAACGGTAACCCTAGTTAGTGCACCTGGAATCCTGGATAATCACGGAGTAACTAACAATCAAATTGATTGCTTTACTCCACCCATCTCCCACCCTCCCCCCCCAGCATCTCCGAGATTGAGCTGATTATTGCTTGGCCTCGACCTAATTTCTGAACTACCGATCCAAAATAGACAAATGGGATTACACAGGAGTGGACTAAAGATAATCGAGACTCATATAGCCCCCCCATCCCCAGATTGTAGCATATACATGTACATCGTAGCCTACAGTACTGTACAGACTCCCCGTAAACCCTCATCCATCATGCCCCCCTCGACTTCACCTTCTTCATCACCATTACCCTCCCCCTCCCCCTCACACACACCCACACCCAAAGCCACACCCAAATCCACACCCCAACCCTCCCTCCGCCAAACCCTCCGCCAAACCCTCCACCAACGCGCCCGCAACAACACCCTCCGCAAACTGACCCTCCCCGCCCCAAATGCCACCGACTTCTCCTCGAACGACTTCCTCTCCCTCTCCACCAACCCCCTCTACCGCCGCCGCTACCTGCACCACCTCACCACCCTCCCGCCCTCCCACCCGCTCGCCAGCGGCGGCTCGCGCCTCCTCGACGGCAACTCCGCCTACACGGAAGCCCTGGAGTCCCAGCTAGCGCGCTTCCACAACAGCGACTCCGCCCTCCTCTTCAACAGCGGCTTCGACGCCAACTGGGGGGTGCTGTCCACGCTCCCGCAGCCCAACGACCTGATCCTGTACGACGAAGCCATCCACGCCAGCGCCCACGAGGGCATGCGGCGCTCCCGCGCCTCCCAGGCCCTGGCGTTCCGGCACAGCAGCCCCCAGAGTCTGCACGCGGTGCTCAGCGCGCAGATCCAGCTCGACCCGACGCTGGGGGATGGTTCCCGGAATGTGTTTGTGGTGGTCGAGTCCGTGTACAGTATGGATGGGGACGTGGCCCCGCTGGCGGAGTTTGTGGCCGTCGTGGATGCGTTGCTGCCGCACGGGAATGGGTATTGGGTCGTGGATGAGGCGCATGCGACGGGGGTGTGTGGGCCGAAAGGCGCGGGGGTCGTGCAGGGGCTGGGGTTGGAGGGGCGCATGTACGTCCGGGTCCATACGTTTGGGAAGGCTTTGGGGTGTCATGGTGGTATGTTTTCCTTTTTATCAGGATCATTGGGGGGGCTGGTTTTGGGGGAGAAGATGAACGCTGGCTGACTAGATTGTGGTTTGTGAGTAGCGGTCGTGCTTTGCGATCCTGATACGAGGGAATACCTCATCAATTATGCGCGGAGTCTGATCTATACGACCGCGCTGGGGTTTCCGTTTCTGGCGGCGATCCGCACGGCGTATGAGATGCTGGAGGGCGGGGAGACCGTCGAGGTGAGTAGTCCCCCGCATCTGCGTGGAACAAGGAGGCCCGCGGATGTTAGTAGGATGGGAGGCTGACGCGACATAGTTGCAGGAAACGCTTCACCAGCGGATCCGGTATCTCCGGGAGCGATTAACCGCCATCCAGCCGGTGGACGCGACGCTGTTCACCCTCGACCATCACCCGGGGTCCCCGATCTTCTCGCTGCGCTGCGCCCTGCCCCGCCGGCTGGCGGCCACGTGTCAGGCCCGCGGCTACGTCGTGCGCGCCATCTTGCCGCCCACCGTCCCGGCGGGCCAGGAGCGCGTGCGCGTGTGTCTTCATGCGGGGAATACGGAAGATGAGATCGATGGGTTGGTCGAGACGATTGTGGAGTGGTTGGAGGAGGCGCAGGGCGAGGAACAGATGCAGGTTGCTAAGGTTGCGCGGTTGTGAGGGTTGCGGTGGAAATGGGTCTGTTGCTGTGAGTATGCATGTACTAAACACGTATATATGGGTGGGTTTCTGCATTCGGTAGACGCATCTTTTGAAAACAGAGGGTGAAGATTCGAAGAAAGTATAGTAAATCTGAGAATAAACAACGTATTGTATTGGGGTAGGTACTTGAGTCTCTGTATGCATCCATGTAGATACGAACGGACTCACTCGACATTACGATTTGGCGCCTCGGGATTATATCCCATATCCAAACGGAACTCAAGATCCCCGGGGCTCACCCCTCCGACGCCATTCTTGAGATCGAGGGTGATCCCCTCCTGGGCCATGAGGGAGGAGCCGATCACGAGAGACAAGGTGTCCGACGTCCCGGGGACACAAAAGGCCCGGACGACGATGCGCGCCCAGCGCCGGTCCTCGTTGGGCCGGCCCAGATGCTCGGGGATGAACATGTGGAAGACCGCGTACTCGGTCACTTCATGCTGGACGTCCTCCTGGTCCCAGCTGTGCAGCATGAAGGGCGACTCGCAGGGACAGATTTTGGCCCCGGGGATTTCGCGCGCATGATCGGGCCTCATGATGCTGAACGGAGAGCCGGTGTCCAGGACCACCGAGCAGAGTCGCTTCGTCGTCCCCAGCCCCACCCGCGCCTTCACGTTGCTCCAGCCGGTCAGATGCCGCGAGCAGCCCGCCCACAAGGCGTCCTCCCAGCAGAAGTTCGGCGAGGTCACCAGCTTCGCAGCTGAGAGGGCACAGACCGCCTCCGATTCGTAGTCGGTTGAGGAGTAGGGGATCCGGAGGGCCGGGTCGTGGTCCTTCCAATCTTCGGCGGTGTGATGGGGTGGGTGCTCCTCGTGGGTGGTATTGCTGTGGGCGTGGCTGGCTTGTGCCTTTTGAGATTCATGGTGGTGCTTCTTGGACGAGTGGGCAGAGGTCTTTGAGGTATCCTTATGATCCTTCTTCTCCTTGCCCGAATGGTGCTTGGGTCGAACCAGCTTGCCATTGGAAATATACGCACCATCGAAGGGGTACATGGTAATAATGGTGTGTGTTCCGAGCTCAAAGCCTTGAGTGATGCGTGGTTGTCCCGAGGCGATCCGTGATGGAGATCTTGGTCTTTTGGCCTTCACGAGTCGGAGGTCTGTAGGCAAGTTATATAGCTATCGATGACCTTGAGGAGGTTCAACACTACCTCCCCATCGCTGAAGAACGTTGCTTGATCTTTGTATAATCGCATGATGAAGGCTCGAGGAACCCTTGTGGTGGAAGAGCGGTGTGAAGATTTCATGCTTGAAACAAGGAGTTGAATGAGCAAACACACAAAGCTTCAGGTTGTGAACAAAGAAATGGGTGCTTGAAACAAATCAACGGAGAAGGAGGTGTCCGGTGTCCTTGGGATTGTCAAGGTTGCACTACACCCCTCTTTTGATCGAACTGTCTATCGCTATGGAATACAGCCATACTGACTAAGCTGACTCTGCTGGGATTGTACAATTGTTACTATCAGGGTTCTGCCGGGTTCTGCCTCGATGTTGCTGTTACGAAAGAGTCACTACGAAAGAGAGACTGATAAACACGCAGTATGCTATCTGTGAATCATCTGCTTCTAGCCCACCATAACGCCGCAGCAATGCTAGCAAGTATCTCGGGACTCTACTGTCTCACAAAAACACAAGGAGAAATTTATAGAAAAGTTGCTGTACTAAAAGAAAGGATATGCCAAGTATAATTTAAAGAAAGAAGAAATGCCATTGTAGTAATCCTCAAAGTAATCGGAAGAGTCACAATCTATGTAAGAGTCACAATCTAGGAGTCGCAGTCTAGGAGTCGCAGTCTAGAAGTCGCAATCTAAGCCTTATCTAACCGATGCAAAATCGCTTCATGCAGAACCCGTTACGCCACCGAAAAAGCGGTTGAATATCTTTGCCGCAACAGCTTCACTCTTGGGAGCTTCCTTCTGGGGAATGAGCCTCAATGTGTCCTCGGCAATCAGCCCAAACAGGCAATAGGAATGCCACCTCGTGGTTCTAGGCGGGCTACCGGGCCGTCCTCCTGGATAGTTATTCCAGATAATCGGGCTGTCGTCCAGCAGCTTCTGACACCGGTGACATCGCATCACTGGGGGGCTTCCAGTCCGCGGAGCGCAAGGCGCGGTCGCAGGGGTTACGGCAGGCCCCTTGGAACGGGTCGGTAGACTGGAGAGAACCGGACGTGTAGGGTGACTGTTCGAGCGAGTGCGGGCCGGGGAAGGGATACCGCTGGTAGAGCCCTTACGTCCAGGCGTCACGATGTTGGCGTGCACGATGGGCCGGGCTGTCGCAGTGGTGGCATGGGGAGGCGGCGCGAGTTTCCTTCGGGGAAGCTGCAGCTCTCCTCGGATGTAGCTCGGCACTCGGTTGTCTGTGATCTTGTCAGCCAGCCTCTGGGTATTGCTTTTGCCTTTGCCTTTGTCGGTATACATTGCGTCTGCAGCTTCTTGCAGGAGGTCAAGATTATCAGAGTTGATCCACTGAGTACCCATGGCTACGGGTTAGTGAAAGTAGACTGACGGTAGTCAAAGGCGGTAGTCAAAGGCTCATAGATCAGGTTGCGTTAAGGATAGAAGAAAGCTAAGCCTATGCTCAACATGAAGCAAGTGTAAACGGGCGAAGGGTTGTTTATATAGCATTGGATGGAGGGAGTTTGTTGTGGGGGAAAGATAAAGAGGCAATGATATCAGAGGATCAGATAAGCCTGAGGGATTCTTTCTTCCCCTCACCTCATCCACCTCCTCCACCTTCTCCTCTCTCTTTCATCTCTTCCTCCCTCACAATCTCATTGTTCTCTACCACAGTACTGGTCACTTCTTTGTTCTGTCGCAGACAAACTCCGATATATTCTCATTATGACGGTAGACGCCCCGTATGATATCCTCATTGTTGGAGCGGGGATCTTCGGTGTCAGTACGGCCTACCATCTCTCGCTCCAATCGCCGCAGCCACGCATCCTCCTCCTCGATCGCAGTCCAGCCCCTCCGCCCCCTGCAGCCTCTACTGATATCAATAAGATTATCCGCGCAGACTACTCCAACCCGCTCTACATGACCCTCGGATTCGAGGCCCTCGACGCCTGGAAATCCCTCCCCAGCTTCCAAGCCGCCGGGGTCCACCATCCGTCTGGATGGATCTGCATGGACGAGAAAGACAGCGACACCGCCGTCCGCGTTCGTCAGAATTTCCACCGCGCCGGTCGCGATGACTGCGTCGTCGACATGACGGAGGCGGAAGTCCGCGAAGCGTGGGGCGGACTGCTCCAACAGACCGACTGCTCGCCGTTCGGGTCCTACTACTTCAACCCCTCCGCGGGCTGGACCGATGCAGGCAAGGCGCTGCAGATCCTGACGCAGGAGGCCGTCCAGCGGGGCGTCCGGTTTGAACTCGGCGAGGCGCGTCGCATCACACGGGACGACACCGGCGCGCTCGGCGTGAAAACCGCCGACGGGACGGTCTACACGGCCAGCCAGATCGTTCTGGCGACCAGCGCGTGGACGAGTCAGCTCATGTCGTCCATCGAGGATGAGCTCGATCTCCCCGAGGCGGACCGGGTCGAGCGACAGATCACCGCGGCAGGGGTGTGCGTGTCGCATTTCCGTCTGTCGCCCGCAGAGCACGAGCACTACGCACGGCTGCCGGTCTTCGTTTACGGGGGACAGGGTGAGGCTACTTCTTTGTTGTTATTCGAATACCTGCAAAGCTGACGATTGTCCAGGTGAGGTGATTCCACCCACGGCAGACGGGATCCTCAAGTTTACGACGGCCTCCTCTTTCACCAACACCATCCGCACCGCATCAGGACTCGAGATTTCTGTGCCGGTCTCCGATCAGTTGACAGTCCCAGAGAAGATGCAGGAGGCGCACCTGAAGGAAATCCGACCCCGACTGCCCGAATTTCTCGACCGCGGACGTCGCCAGCCCGAGTGGTATCGCCTCTGCTGGGACGCCATCTCCCCCAGCCAGCATCCGCTGATCACTCGGCATCCCGACTCTCGGCTAGCCAACCTTTATCTCGCCGTGGGAGGCTCATTCCACAGCTACAAGTTTCTCCCCACGATCGGGCGGTATGTGGTGAACGTGCTGCAAGGGGTGAGCAACGGGCCCGAGAAAGACGAGGCGTGGGCGTGGAAGACAATCCAGCCGAGCGAAAAGGGCGTGCATGAGAAATTGATTCCTACCACGGAGTATCGAGACTTGGTGTGAGGAGGTGGCGTTGGACACAGCACAGCCGAGTGCACGGATGGGGTAATACGAGGACGCGTGGCTGCCAGTGCGGGGGATACAATTAGCTCGCTCCATCCATGCCATAACTCACCGACTGTTAAGATTAAGGATCGTTTTCTTTACGGTCGATTCAGCCTAATAAGCTTGTTAGGCGAAGGTTCCAGTTGTCGCCGACCGAGGAATTGTAGCATTCTTCGGTGGGTCGAAATCATTACTCACTCACCGAAATGCCTTTTCCACAGAACACAAAAGCAACAAACCCAGAGACAAACAAGCTCAATAATGAGGCAAGAAAAAGGCCTTCTAGAAAGCCCGATGGCCAATCAAAGTAAAACAGCTGGACCCCGCTGGCCAAGTTTCTGTCTGTCTGTCTGTGCATGAAGCGTTGAGCCGGAATGGGCGGACGAGCCGAGGTGTCCGGCAATTCAACCTTTGCCCCCTACAAATAAGTATGTGACCCACCCAGCACCACCCTGGTGTTCTGATCCTCAACAACCTCAATATGGCTTTAGGTATGTACTGTACAGCTCTCACTCTTCGAATCTAATATGGCATACTGACAGCTGTAGCAACCGCTGCCGCTCTAACGGCCGCCGCGTACCTCAATGCCAAGTTCCACCTGACCAAAGATCTAGCGGTGCTGCGCACGGTGCGGCAGGCCACCCGCAGCACTCAGCAAGCCCAAAGCCGAGGCCAGGTCAACCTGTGGTTCAATTTCATTGAGACCGCTACCAAGTACCCCGATCTAACCGCCATCTGGACGCGAGAGCGGTCTTTCACCTACCGGGAGGTGCTCGCCGCGGCCGCCCGCTACGCCCAGTTCTACCGCCACCGCGGCGTGCAACCGGGCGACCTGGTCGCATTCTACCTCCAAAACCGCGCCGAATTCATCTTCGCGTGGCTGGGGCTATGGAGCATCGGCGCTGCCCCGGCGGCCATCAACTACCATCTCACCGGCGATGCGCTGGTGCACAGCCTGGCCCTCAGCGGCGCGAAGCTTCTCCTGGTGGACCCGGACGCAGAATGTCGGGCGCGGATTGACGACCGACGAGCCACCCTGGAGACCGAGCTGGGCTTGACGCTGATCACCCTGGATGAAACCTTCACCACCACCGTCCTCGCGACCCTGCCGGCAGAGGTCCCGGAGGACGGCCGGCTGGCGCGCGAGACGACCGGTAGCTCGCCCGCCATCCTGCTCTACACCTCCGGCACGACGGGACTCCCGAAGGGATGTCCGTTCCGGATGGAGCGACTGCACGTCGCCGTGGGGCTGCGGGCGTACTCGACGCGCGACGGGGTCGGCCCCGGCGGCGACCGGTGGTACAGCGCGATGCCGCTGTACCACGGGACGTCGGCGGTGGCGCTGATCGTGGCGCTGGTGCGCGGGACGAGCATCGCGATCGCGCCGCGCTTCAGCGTGCGCAGCTTCTGGCGCGACGTCCACGACGCCCAGGCGACGGCCTTCGTCTACGTCGGCGAGACCGCCCGGTACCTGCTGGCGGCGCCGCCCTCGCCGCTGGACCGCGCGCACCGCGTGCGCATGATGTACGGCAACGGGCTGCGGCCGGACGTGTGGACGCGCTTCCAGCAGCGGTTCGGCATCCCCGAGGTCGGCGAGTTCTTCAACAGCACCGAGGGCGTCTTCAGTCTCTACAACTACAACCGCGGGCCCTTCACCGCCAGCGCCGTCGGCCACCACGGCGCCCTCTCCCGATGGCTCATGCGCGGCGTCTACGCCCCGGTCGCGATCGACCCGCACTCCGGGGAGGTCCAGCGCGACCCGGCCACCGGGTTCGCGGTGCGCCAGCCCTACGAGGTTGGCGGCGAGATGCTCGTGCGCGTGCCCGCCGAGTCGGCGTTCCCGGGCTACTGGCGCAACCAGGAGGCCACGGACAAGAAGTTCCTGCGCGATGTGTTTGAGCCTGGGGATCTGTGGTATCGGTCTGGGGACGCCCTGCGGCGGGACGCCGATGGGCGGTGGTATTTCCTCGATCGCCTGGGCGATACCTTCCGATGGAAGAGTGAGAATGTGTAAGCTCCTTCCCCCTCCCCCCCCAACTTGCTCATCCAATCCCGCCAGCCAAACCTTCTCCTAATTAATGGCAACAGCTCCACTGCCGAAGTCTCTCACGCCCTAGGCGAATTTCCAGGGATCCAGGAAGCCAACGTCTACGGCGTCCTGGTGCCGTCGCACGACGGGCGCGCCGGCTGCGCCGCACTGCAACTTAGCCCTGACGCCGCCGTCCAGGGGGCGTTGGATCTCACGGCGCTGGCGCAGTTTGCGCGCGCCCGTCTCCCGCGCTACGCGGTGCCGGTGTTCCTGCGGCTGGTGACGCAGACCTCGCATATCCACAACCACAAGCAGAATAAAGTGCCCTTGCGCGAGGAAGGGGTCGAGCCGGCCAAACTGGGGGCCCACGTTGTGGGGGGTCAGAGTGATCGGTTGTTTTGGTTGCCGCCGGGGGCCGAGGGATACGTGCCCTTTGAGGAGAAGGATTGGCAGCGGTTAGTTGGGGGTGACGCGAAACTGTGAGGGAGAGAGCCATGGTAGATAACTAGAGGTGTTGATCCTGGTCTGCACGTATTTGCGTGCTGCTCGAGACTAGGTATCTGGACAAGCGAGCATGAGAGGTTTGAATTCTGGGTTCGTTACGGAAGCCTCCGGACCTATTTGACACGAAGTCCTGTTAAATCTAATTTTGCCATCCATGGAATCTTATCCGTGGGCCTCCATTATCTGGCATCCAGCTTGAAGGAGTTTTGATTCGGGTCTCTTCCGCTACCGAGTTAGTGGTACATGCCGCGAATCCACTCGGATGAATTCAATCGTGAGGAAGTCCAGATCCAACGCCTTTATCTGCAATGAACGTGCCGTCATTTGCACTGTTCAAGAAACGCTCGATCATGTTTTTCAACATCGTACAATGCATAGCTTGATGGTTCGTCTGTTTGAGGCTCTATTTTCTGCAGATGCGAAACTAGACGTTCATATACTGGTAGTTTAGAGTTCAGGGCATGCGTGCAAGGGGGGGGGGGTTCAAGCTGCAGGTGGGTGGGCTATCAATCAGACTATCCCCATCGAATTCTCTCTCCGTTCGGTCCGAACATAGTCTTCGCGACTTGAAAGCCGAACCTCGATGCATAGGGTACGCCCTGAAAGTAGCTGATCCGTCGCAGAAGACTCGCTATCAACAGCAATAAATAGTACCAAGTCAGCGCTGGTCTGTATAGGCTCTGGGGCTAGGTTAGGGCAAAGCCTGGCTCTAGGGATCCGCAGGGAAAAGGGCTCCAAGGACGAAAAGATTATATCATCATCAAAAGAACCCAAGAGGTTTGGGTTCCAAATAGACTGACATTAGACTGACCAGGCACAGTCAGAGGAGATTCATTCATTCTGCCAATAGGACCGCGCGCGGCCTGTTATTAGCCACGGTAGGCCAAATCCAATTTTCGAAGCAAACAACTATTCACCGAAACCATTCCCAAATTCCATCGTTATATTAGCGTGAATGATCAGGGCAAAGTCAAAAAAAGAGATGCAAAAATAATGGAAGATGACAGTCATAATCATCCATCGTATCCCATCATTATCATGCACGTCATGCCAGTCCGGGTACAACATCGTCCACCGAACCTTCCTCGCATATCTGTCATTGAGCCCAGAGTCTCCCTTGGTAGATGTTAGCTGCTCCAGCACGTGGGAGATCCCTCAGCTCAATGAAGGGGGGGGGAGGGATCTCTCAGCCCCGTCCAGGGCAGAGAACATGCCTGGGGCGACCGGTGCCATAGGCGTCGTCATAGCATGTTTTGCCATCTCCTCCACCACTCTGCACAGAGCACTGTCATAGAAAAGTAGGGTCAGATATTGCAAGCTCAGCATCCGGAACCTTTACCAATGTTTACCTTGCCGACATTACATCGACTGTATACCGATCGAACGTCAGTGGATGAGGATGTAGACGCCAAAGAGATCGCGTGGGCGATGACGCACTAATTTGTGAATCCGATTCTGCAACTCAGTCCATTGCATGTCTGGCGTTTGAAAGATCACCGCCATTCCGTTAGCTTGGATATAGTCTCCCGAGGCATGGAATTAGGGGACAGGGGACAAGAACGTAGACGAAAAATGCCCCATACACCGCAATTGATATGATCCACCCCACTGCAGCTGATGTTGGGATTGTATTGGACTGCATGGCGGTCTTGTTCAGCTTCAACATCGGACGTCGCAGCATCAAGAGGGGAAGGGGCCGCAAGTGCCAGGCTAACGATGAGAGTGATAGTGATGCAAATGAACTTCATTCTGGAGACTGGAGTGCCCGCAGGTGTAGTAGCTTCAATCTCGCTCCTGTGCTGGAGGTCGTCAGAAGTGATTCTTGTCAAGAACTCTGGTTCTACAGCTTCCTCTGGGGAAGAAGGCCCTTCTTTATACTCGACCATCGCTCTCTCGCTCGGGCCTCACAACTCTCTGACGGACCATATCCACCTCCTGAGTGTGCCCCGAATGATGTTCCGTTTGATCTCCTTTTTTTTTTCTGGGGCTAAACTCAGAGCGCGGCTAGGCTTGGAGCTCGTGATGTCGCACTCGCACTATCAACGAGATCTACATGGTGTTTTGATATGCATTTACGGACAGCCACGCCCCTGGCATCTCCTTACAACTACTGGATCCATCGCAGTGTGTCAGGGGTGAAGTTCGGCGTGGGTTGTGGATGGTCACACGGCCATTCCGGTACGAATCTTTCCTTGCATCCAATGTCACCCGCGACATCGGCAACATATAGGCTCTAGCTCATGCATAGACTGATAGCTTCTGACTTTAGTGACGTTGCATACGATACAGGGATATCCGGGCAAGGAATTTACATGATCAATACCTCGCAAGCCCCTGATAACCCACGTCTCATGGTTAAGTGGTCTCTCGTAGACTCAGTATTTGGGTTTCCGTGCTTGATATTCCGCCGGGAGACTTTCTTTAACCTATTACATAGCTTGAGTTGACCACGAAACTATCTTACAGGATAGGCACAGAGGGCTTCTAATAAGTACTAGTAAAAGTGTCCGAGTCAGGCCTTCTCGCGAAGACCTCTTCTAATCAAATTATGGGATAGAATAGGAAGAGAACTAAGATTACTGGTATCCGTACACACAGATATTCCGGAAGTATACCTACATCCTCGGATACAAGACGTCCATGTTGCAAAGTTGTCACGGTCTGAATCGTTCACTAGGCTGGGATTGTGGGGTGCATGCGTGCCCAGTTCGGGCTGGAATACCAGTATAGTGCGCATGTCTATTCATTTCAATACCGACGGCCATTATCCTCCGACTTTATCCTAGTGACCTTCTAAGTAGAACTCGGCCCTTGAATGGCCAGCGGCAGTAGACTTGAGAGTAGATCCCCGTTGTCGTTTTCAGAGCACATTGCATCGTTTATTGAATGTCTCAGCTATCAGAGCCCACACCTGACAGGCTGGTTTTACAGGACAGAGTCAGGGCCAGTCTTGAAGAAACTTATCTTCGGTCAGTAAACAGTTCTTGAGCGAATAGTGAAAGGGATCGGTGACTGTTCTCGCACTAGTCATGTTGCGGGCTGTTTGCAGATATGCATGTATCTCTGCACGGCAGCGGGCCGGTTGTCTCTGCTAACGACTGGGAACACGAAGGTATCGATTGCAATGGATATCGATTTACTCCAATGAGTAGAGTTCAAATCAGTAAGCAGCAGTGGAGTATTAGTCTAAGTGTTTGTAGGTCAGCTGGGTCTTGATAGCGTAAATGGGCAAGCAAACTGCTTTACGGAGGGGGAGCGATCCAGCGAGCGCCTGATAAAAGGGAAGGAAAGAAAAGACAGGAAATAACATGACTGGTCCGCCATGTATAAGTTACTTGGCGAGGGAGCATGCATGTTGAGTTCTGGCCTGCCTTCTTACAGTGGCTGCAGGTGGTTTGCAGGTTCGACAGAATGCGGCTCTTGCTTCCGGTTCGGGCAAGAGACCCTTAACTCCAGGCTGAACGTGAACCCCGCCGCCAACATCGCATCGCATCCCAGAGCCCGGATCCCTGTATAAGCACCGATGCATTAGTTGTGAGGTTGTGGGGAGAGATGTTGACGGACGGGTAGGGCGGGCGAAGAAGATTGCCCTTGCATCCTGCCGGCTGGAGGCCTTAGGTGCGTCACCTACAATACTCATTAGGGATGGTAAAGCGTTTCTCTGTCAATACTCCTCATAATCCAAGCAATGAGGAAGAAATAACCCCATACAGTGATCATGAGGATGTTCAACACCGGCCAGCCAAGCCCTTAGCCTACCGAGTCGACGAGGAGCTCGAATATTGATGTATCGCCGCTGCGTTGTCACTCTTCCCTTTTCTATTCCTCAGTTATCTAAAGGCTCTTTGAGTGTCCAACAAATATCTGGAGTTGAAGATCTACTTCTTTGATACTTTTGACTAATGATCTCATAGTATTCAAGGCTACGGTATGCATCTACCACACTCCAAGACTATCTCTGTCGAGATAAAGTAAACCACGTACTGCCGAATCAATAAACATACCTGAACCGCTCATTCTTCAGATCCGTCACATCCATCAACTCCTCCTCTTCTCCCTCCTGCTCCCCACTCCCTGTTGTACCCACCATCATCCTATCCCGCCTCGCATTCTCCCCCCTCAAATACACCACCAGCCCCCCCAGCACAACCACCACCACCGCCAAGCACACGAAGATCGCCACGAAGCCGCTCTGTTACCTTCATCAGCCCGAGTTTCTGCATCCGCAACTCAACCCCACAAAAGCACTGAGTCCCCCAGCACAAATCCACGGAGAAGGGCAAAACAAACCTGATAAACCGGCGCCTGCCGCTCGAAGAACAGCTGCGGCCCGATGATATTCCCCGCGCAGTACAGGATGAAGTAGATGGCGCTGACGGTGCTGCGCTTGGTCACGCCGCCGACGTTGGCGCTGATCAGCGCCATGGACAGGGGCATGGTGACCGCGTAGAAGCTCATGAGGATCAGGCCGACGTAGCGCGAGGCATTGTGGTGGGTCGCGTAGACGAGTGCGGTGCCTAGGATGCTTTTGGGGGGGTTAGGTTGGGGAGAATGAGGATGGCTATGCTAGGCGGGGGGGCAGACGTACCTCGAACACGATAGGATGATCGAGACCGTGCAGCGGCTGTTGGGGATCTTGGAGGAGGCGTAGCATCTTTTCTCTTCGTTAGCTATTCTGGGAGCTCATTTATGGGTTGCTGCTGGGTTTTTGAGAACGGAGGCGGTGGCTTACGAGGCTAACACCACGAGGAACGAGATAAATCCCCCCGGGATCCCAAGGAGGAGGGTGTTCAGGGTGTTGTAGCCGAAGCCCTTGAGGATGAGACCTGAGAACTACCCACCCAAACCAAGTTAGTAGCTGGAGAAAGATGCAGGTTTTTCGACGACAGAAAAGTCTACACACCGTAGTGTACCCCCCGTTGGGGATATTGCAGCCCAGAATCAACACCCCCAGCAACCACGTCTTGGGATCGGTGCACGCCTCCACCATCTGACGCTTATCGATCCGATTCGTCTTGTATCCGGCGCGGTTCGACTTCAGGCGCGCAACGGCGATGACTCTCTCCTCCGGGGTGAGGAACGTGGCGTTCGTGGGGGAGTCGGGGAGGCGGAAGAGCATGACCACGCCCCAGGTGAAGGTGACCAGGCCGAAGATGATGTACAGCCACTGATGGTGGTTACACGGGTCAGTAACCAAAGTCAAGTGGGGAGGATGGGGGTATTGCGGACACACCTTCCAGGTAGCCAGACTGGACTCGATCTGCCAGATCCCCACGGCAATCGCACCGCCGATGATCAGCGACAGCGAGTTCCCGCAGAACCAGATCCCGTGGCGCAGGGGCTGCTCGGCGGTGCGGTACCAGAGCGAGGTCAGGAGGCTGAACCCGGGGGAGACACTGGCTTCGGTGCAGCCCAGGAAGAACCGGGCCACCATCAGTCCGGTGAAGTTGGTCGTGGCCGCGTGGCAGGCGAGCACGATCGCCCAGACGATGCTGTTATCCGCGTAAGCCACAGTCCACCTCGCCAGAACTCTGAGAGAGTGAAAGCCCATACTAAGTACACGCCAGATACTTCCCCAGGGGAAAGCGAACCATCAGCAACGAGGCCGGATAGCTTTGAGCCCGTCAGTGATTTCCCAGTACCCAAACTCCTTCCACAGAGCTCAGACCAACCTGAACGCAAGATAACCAAAGTAGAAAATGGCCGACGACCAACTATACTCCGCCCCCGTCAGGCGCAGATCCTCCATGATGCCCATGATGGCCGCATAGCTCAGGGTCTGCTTGTCCATGAAGGACATCATGTACGCGACGAGCATGATGGGGAGGATCCTAGACCATCGGCATCAGCATGACTCCAGCCCTCCTCCGCCCGCTGATTCCTGGGAGAAGAAGCAAGAAAAACACACATCAAATCAATCTTCCGAACCAACTTCCTCTCCGCCTCGGCCGAGAACTCCGTCGATGAGCCATGCTCCACGCTCTCGCAGGCCCCAAGCTCCGTGCCCATCTCGAGGGGGGGCTTCTTCTCGTCTGTGGCGGGTGTCATTGCTGCATCAAGATCAATAGAAATCAGACAGAAATCCAGGAACAGGAAACCTTCTTGAAAAGAAGAAAGACGTGGCTATCCCCCAGAATCACGGCACCCAGGGCATCCTCTCTTATAACTACCATGTACAGTACTTACAACACATCTATCGCCACAGATACCAAAACCCAGCACACGTATGTATCCCAGCGTCAATCAGAACCCCCGCATTCCGTTTCTCTTGTCCTCTGCCTCAGCACCCCGTGATAACCATTCCAGCAATCCATACGTACTACGTGCTAGTAGGTCGGTAATGCTCTATCATCCAAGCGTAAGCGCCCCCCTGCAATTGGCTGCGTCGGCAACGCTACTAGCGCAGCCTCTTAACCCCAAGCCTGAGCCCTTCTTTCCCGTGCCGAGATAAACGGCAAAGCTGCTGTGCCTGCCTGTCCTCGTCTAGATCTCGGCTGAGTTTTTCCCCAGGTTTCTGTGGCATAGTGGGTCCGTTGGTTTGTACGGTACGCTTATATTGAGCGTGAGCAGTCTAGATCTATCGAGTCTGAGATGAGCTGATAAACTCTTTCCATTCGCATGGTGTTTGATTCGGTGCGTGTGACATTGGTGGGGGGGGAGGTAGAACCTCACCCTTCAGAAGATGGGGGGTTATCTCGTGTCGCGGATGCCGAGGTAGGTTCTGTGGTAGGCAGCAGCACTACTGTTGGTCGGGGATGATGCGTGGGCGTGGATGAAGAGGATCGCCTGCGGGCGGTCTTATCGCCGATTTCCTATCGCTGCGATGCGGGAGATATGAGGGTTGGGCTTGTTGCATACAGTTTAGTGGAGGGTGTGGTAGGTGGCAGATTAGATTTAGACAGGTCACTGGCTGTAGAGCTTGGCTGAGGATACGGTGCCCTTGGTTATGGTCGGTGGCTATCTGCCTTACCGGTTTATGTCTCTGGATACACATGGAATTCATTGGATGGCTACGCAAATCTGCAACTAATCGCAATAAATATGGTCTTCCTCGTTGACATCTAACATCATGCTCGCTAAATCATGCTACACTAGTGGGCGGCCACCATCTGATCCTTGACATACAAATCGACGTACTTGTCCACGTCGTAATTCTCGAGAGCCGCCTGGTCCAACCCGACCTTGACAAGCTCGTCGATGCGAGCCTGGTCGAAGTGGGCCTGCAAGTGGCGCTGGTACTTGGCCAGGATCTCGGGCTTGGCCTCTTCCCGACGCAGCCGGTGGCCCAGAGGTGCCTCGACGACCACCTCGTCCAGGACGGTGCCATCGTGCAGGGTGACGGTCAGGGCGTTGGCGATGGTGCGCTTGGACGGGTCATGGTAGTCGGCGGTAAACTGAGGGTCCTCAACACAGCGGATGCGCTTGCGCAGGTCCTCGACCAGGGGCGAGGTGGCCGCCTCAGAGCCATCCGCATAGTCGTTGGCTGTCAGGCGGTTGAAGGCCAACATGGTGGAAACCATGTACTAGATGCAGTCAGTACATGGCCAGAACCAGCGATCTCAATTTGCTTACCTGAACGCAGTGGTCGCGATCAGCAAAGTTGTCCATCGCCTTGAACTGCTTGTCGATAATCCGGATGCACGCCTCATGCGTGCGGTTAACGACCTCCTTAATGTCCTTGGCGCTCTTGCCCAGAGCCTTGAGCTTCGCGTTCACAATCTCCGCAGCCTCGATCGCAGTCTGAGAGTGGAACTCGGCTAGAATCCAGTCAGAGAAATCCCCCTCCATCGATGAGGCGCAACTTACCAGGATATGAAACCTTGAACAGAACATTCTCCATAACATAGCTGCCGTACGGACGCTGGAACTGGAACTTCTTGCCCTTGAACAAGACATCATAGAAACCCCAGACCGGGGCAGACAGAACCGTCTTCAAGCCACCCTCGCCCTTCTGCACCTTGAGCACCAGGTTCACGGCCCGCTGGCAGGCATCGCCCGCGGCCCAGGACTTCCGCGACATCGTGTTGGGGGAGTGACGGTACGTGCGGAGCGACTGGCCATCCACGAACGCCTGGGTGATGGCGTCGGCGGTCTTCTCCTCACTGAGGCCGAGCATCTTGGCGACCACCGCCGTGGTCGCGACCTTGACCAGCACCACGTGATCCAACCCGACCTTGTTGAAGGAATTCTCGAGAGCCAGCACGCCCTGGATCTCGTGCGCCTTGATCATCGCCTCCAACACGTCCTTGACCTTCAGGATCTTGCCGTTGGCGAGGTTGCCGCCGGCCCGGTTCGTGCGGGAGATCCAGTCTGCGACCGCCAGGATACCGCCCAGGTTGTCGGACGGGTGGCCCCATTCCGCCGCCAGCCAGCAGTCGTTGTAGTCGAGCCAGCGGATGATGGCGCCGATGTTGAAGGCCCCGTTAACGGGGTCAAGCTGGTATGGGGTGCCGGGAACGCGGGTGCCGTTGGGCACAATGGTGCCCTCAACCACCGGGCCCAGCAGCTTGGTACACTCCTTGAACTTTAAAGCTTCCAGACCACATCCCAGAGTATCGAGGAAGACGAGGCGGGCAGTATCGTACTACAGCGATGGGAGCGGTTAGCGATGCAGCTTTGTATTGGAGAATAATAACGGTGGTGAATGGTGGAATGGGGGAGCCCCGCGTAACTTACCGCCAAGTCGGAATCCACCTTGTAGTTGTGGATGTAGTTGCTCAGCTCCTGGATCTCGGGGTCATAGGGCCGGTCGGTGGGAATGGTCGGAGGAGCTTGCTGCAAAGACGCCATGGTTGAGAATTGAGAGGTACGGAGGAGCGTCGAAGGAGGATGTGTTTTGGATGTGATGTGGGAGACACTGGAGACAGCAGCAGGTCTGGAGAGGGAGGCGATGCGGGAAGAGGAGGAGAGCCAAGTGCGGGGAGGAGACCTGTGGGTCAGCCGTCTCAACGCTGAACAAGAGGCAGACATGATGGAAGAGAGGGTGATAAGAAGAGAGAAAACGGGGGCGCAACAAAATCCCCAATGGAGTGCACAATGAGTGTGAGCTATGGTAGGTAGCAGGATCACTGGAGTAGGAGAGGAAGGGAGAAAGAAGACGGAGAATTGAACAGGAATTAAGAAAGGGAGTGAGTGAGTGACCCTGTGCTCATGCTGGGGGAGTATAAGTTACTCAGTACTCCGTAGTATGGTAACGTTAACTAAGGTACCCTTTACCGCCGGGGATTCGGACCGAGGCCGCTTGGTTGCTTTGTTTATGGGGGCGGCTATCACCGGCTGTCCGAGCGCTGCCCACTCACTTCCACCTCGGCAGGTCCTATTAGGTCTTATTTGTTCTTATTTTTGGGGTGATTCTGGACGGTTTTTTACTCGATTATACTGAATTTGAGTCAATTCCCTATCCATATAGACTGCGAAAATGATCTGATATCTCTCATTAAAATAGACACAGAAGACACAGAATTGAGAGAAGACGACCGTTGACAATGGGCATCATCATCATGTGATGTTATTTCCCCTCACTCCCGTAGACTGGTGTAGACTCCACTTGACCCCATCTTTCCGTACCCATCGCGGGAAGCCATACGGAGACATACCGCAAAGCTACCTGCCTGTTTCATTGCAATCCGACCCAGCCTCACCCAAACCCGCCCCAGAATCACCTCAATCCTCTTCATCTTCTTGTTTCTCCTCTGCATCTGTCTCGTACACCACATCTTCCATGCCGTTCGGTTGGGCAAGGGACTGTTCTCCACCACCATCAGGTTCACCGCCGCCTAATTCCTTCTGCAAATACGCGACACAAGTCTGGATCTGGGTGAATGTCTCGATGGTTGCCTCCATATAGGCGTCATGATCTTTCTGTCTCTGTTCGAGCGCCCTCAGATACTCCTCATGACGTTTCTCCGCCTCCATGGAAGATGCAAGGTATGTGTCAAAATGCTTTCTGGTCTGCATGAAAGAGTCACAGAGCTTGTACACGAGCTGCCCATGTGCAGTGGTCCGGCGACGCTTGCTATCGTTTTGCACGACTTCCTCTGCTGCAAGTATATTAGGGGGGCTGTTGATGCTAGGTGTACTAGCCGGGTCCTGAATGTTTTCCGCATGGGCATGCTTGACTTTGCCTCTGCCTTTGGCTGTTGGTTTGATATCTGGCGCCGGAGTAGTCTGCTTGGTGGAGGAACTCGACGCTCTAGGAGGACTGAAGAAGTCGGTAGGGCTACTGACCGCTGTAGTCTCTTTAGGTGTGGCAGGGAGTGTGCTGGCTTGCAGACGAGGTCGCTTAATCGAGCGGGGAATGTCAGTCAGAGCAGTCGTGGTGGTCGTTGTAGAGGAAGAGCTCTGGCGGTTGACAAGCTTGTCCGACTCCGAAGACTCTGTGCAGGTGAGACGCGGGCTCAGCTGTGCGAAGGGCATTATCTCGTAGGTGTCGGGCTTCTTGTACTGCAGCACCATGTCGTCCAGGCATACCGTCCAGCGGTCTGTTTCCGCTTTGTCCAGCCGCTTTGGAGTAGTCGAGTCGGCGGTAGTCACGGGTCTGTGGCGCGGTAGCTTGACGATGGAGCTGTGAGGTGGACGCATGCTCGAGGGCGGTAGTACTGGCCCGGCGATGATCGTTTTGAACTGAAATTTATTGCCCGCTGCGTCCCGTTGGCGCTGGAGCAGCCAGGCGCAGTGTTTTCTCCCTTCCTCGCCGCATAGAACGTAGTACCCCTTGAAGATCGGATATGCAAAGACCCCATGGGCGGAGATCACAAACGTTGGGCCACAGGGATCCCTGCTTTGTCGGACCATGCCACTACCGTCAAAGTCGGCGGGATACTTGTCATGGCGCTCAGTGGTGGAGAGAAGCTTGATCGCAATATAGACCCAGGCGTCGGGCAGGCGGACCCCGTAGGGAGGCCATCCATGCTGCGCCGGATCCCAGAACGTCGACACCAGTGGCCAGGAACCCCAGATCTCTAGTTGATCTTGTTTTTTGATCTTGCTTTGATTTTTGCCTATGGGTAAGCTGGGCCGGGGGGGCTTGGGGTTTCCAAGTTGCCAGGTGTTCTTAGGCGGTCGGTAAGTGGAACAAAGCTTCTGGCAAAGAGTCGCAAGTTCCTGCAACTGGACCTTGAAGGCGGGTGTGGCTTCAATACTTGGTTCAGGGATGTCTTCATCCTCATTCATTTGTGTTATGCTTCGGCGAGCCACCCGCTTCAATTGAGCCATGATGACTAGCGTGACTTGCACTGTGGTCACGGGGTCTGCACCGTTCATTACACAGGTGAAGCAGCCAGCATCTTGATAAACAAGCGTCTGAAGGAGGCGGTTGACAGGAGTGACAGTAAGAGATGGAAGGAAGGTAGAGGCAACGGCTTTCGGGGGACGAACGGGAAAGCGAGTCGATGTCGAGTGACACGGAATATGGCACAGACCACGGCCACTGCAGTGAGAGGTAGCGAACGAAGAGGATTGAGAAACAGACCAGCAAGTCAGTGTTGAAAGATGGCCTTCCTTGCCTTCCCGCTTTGCCTGCTGAAACTGAAACTGAGCACAATAATTCACCCACCTCCGTCAATCGGTACCTAGTCATGTGCCTAGCCTCCGTCGATAATTCACCAGCAGAGGTCAAGTGGTTCGGAGATTCTTCTTGCTTGCTTTCAACTATTCCCAGGCGTCTCGCCACTGAGCTGTAGAAGGCGACTCTAAGGCATGGTTGTTCCATCATTTGTAAGATTCCTACCCAAGTCCTGTAGATACATACATACCTGACTACGGCAGATCCCAGTCGCAATCCGTCGAATACGAATCCTGAACCTCATCTGCATTCTCGTATTCTGTCGATAGAACTGGTTAGTTTACTCCTCTAAGCACCTCTTAAAGCACTTCTTCTAGTACTTGGAGGCATGTTTCTAAGCGAGCAGGTAGCAGCATATTATCATATACCTACTCGAACAAGTGAGGCAGCGAGCCATCTTGGATAAACGTCTCTGGTTAAAGTACCTCATTAGTTACGTTTCGAAATAATCGAAGCGCTGCTCCAGGCACCGTCTCATGATGAGTACCTGTCCAGCAATCTTCAAAAATGGTAGCGAGGCATCTACCAGGGTCCAATCCTAAGACTAGCTGACTCCGCCCTCTGAGTTGTATATTTTGTACAACGTTAATCAGGCAGTAGAAAATATCTAGGGCAAAGATAGATCCTTTCCAGGCATCATTCTATCTTACGTACTTGAAAATATGCTTGGAGAGGTGCCTTCTGTCTTGCATTGCTTGGGAAACAGCTCGGAAAGATGCTCACATATGAAGAAGTCCTTGGAGAAATGTCTTGCTGTCTTGCTTGCTGGAAAAGATACTTATAACCCCTATTGGAACTCGGCGAATCATAGAGCAAAGCTATCTGACGGGGGATATTGCTGCTACAAGTATAATTGCCTTCGTCCGCCGTACCTACTGTGGGATATAAACTCCTTGAAATCCTCTGAAAGGTTTTTTCTCGTATTTAACGATAGTAATCGAACTAAGATTTCAGGCCTGCTTGTGTTTGTGGACAAATCAACTTGATAGTCGATGATCCGCAGGTATATTATGCAAAGTTCTAAGAGGGAAGCACATTGTAAACCTGGATACTCAGTCTATACGTGTGATACTGGGCTTTCTATCACCTGACCTTGGTGTATCTATTTAGTGATAAGGATCGCAGCAGGATTAGGCCAATGTCTAGATTTGATATAGAACTTCGTCGTGCTTACAGACAAACCTTTCTCGACGGTTGGTTCCAAACAGGCTTTTTAGACTGAAATTCGGAAACGATATGGCTCAAATGGTCATTCTAAAAATGTAATACTATAATAAGCAAGACTAGGCTTCCATAAAACCGATAGCCGTGCCGAAGGGAAGGCTATCATAGGCAGAAGAACAGCTCGTAGGCAACTCTCGACTATCCTAAACCTCACTGACTTGTTTCCATCACCACACAGCAGCCTGAGCATAAGAACATCTCTGCTGTTCCGCCGCCGAGCAGAGGCAAGTTTCACTGAGGCTCCAAGTAAAAATTCAACGAAGACAATAGTCTGTAGCTCAAAATTTCCATCAAGAAATTCAATGGCCCTACATGCTAAAGTATGTGTGTCAAACAAACCGACCAGGGGATATTACAAACCAGATCGAACCTCGTTTGTACATGCAACCTTTGGTCTACCAGGGCCCATACCTCAACTCCCTCTCATCAGTCCGACGAAGCGACTTAACGATCTCTTCATAGACCGCCTGCGCGAGCTTCGGGGGAACCGCATTGCCAATTTGCTTTCGGACGTGCGGGGCACAGAAGTGATACCGACGTGGGAACGTCTGCAAGCACGCATACTCCCTGTTCGTGAAATTACGCCGTTCCGAAGGGTGGGCAATCATTTCACCTCCGCCACAGGTGATTGTTCGGATTTGTCCCGTGCCATCGCACGGCGCCCGGTTCATCGGACGAGCTGCCGCTCGCTGGGTATTATGGTCTGCTGCTCCCGGCCGGATGTCAGAGATGGCCTGTCTTATAGTAACAAAGGGACGGAGCCCAGAGCCGGGGAGTCCATGAGTCGGCTTGGGAAATAGAGGAAGCGATTCGCCTGGTCTTCAAGATTGCTTTGTTAATATCGCTCCTTCGAAAGCTTCCTAAGCCACTTACCCAGATGCAATGATTACCAATCTTCGTCTTAGCTGAGGTACACCGTATTCGACGCAGTTGAGGATGCCCCAGCGCACTGCATATCCAAGCTCGATGAAGTCTAGAATAACTCGGTTGAATGTCTCCCTGTGACGCTCAAACAGGCCACTTGTCTCTTCCATGGTAAGAATTCTGGGCTTCGATTTCTGAAGCAAATTCAAACACGAAAAAATGCACGCGCTATTGGCGTCATCGGTCACGGATTCGATCGTGTGCGCGGGTGAAAACGTCTGGCACGGCGGAGATCCATGGACAATGTCTACCTTAGTGGAATGCTTTGAATGGATAAAGGTGAAAAGATCCATCAGCCTGACGTTCGCATCTGGATAGTTGCGTTTGTAGGTTTTGACAGCGGACTCAGATTTGTCGCAGGCCCATTCGGGATGCAAAAGAGCCGCACGAGCACCGCAGGTAACGCCGCCAGCACCGCAGAATGCATCGCCAAATGTATACTGACGTCGCTTCATAGCGTGAACTGGGTCGTGTCTGGTTCGATGCAGCTTGTCATCATCGAGTTCCACGACTTCACCAGGGTCGAACGCTCCAAAAGGCTTGGTCTCACCCCGCCACGCACGGCGGAGCTTCGGCGGGTCGAATTTGAATCCTTCGTCTGCTTCATCCCAGGTGAGGTATTCCACTGATGATGGTTTCTTGTCTCCGTAATGCTCTTTGAGCCGACAAAATAGGTCTTTGGGGCGTTGGTGGTGCTTGACCCAGTCCTTCTGGATCACACAGAAGTTCGTAAACGTGATCCGGACAAACTTTTTAACTTGGTTGGATGGAATGTCTATTGTCTCATTCGCGATCCAGACAAGCTCATGGTCCCACCTTGGTATGTATTTGCCCCTGTGGTTTTTCGTGTGTATCAGGCGTCTTCCCCGAAAGAAGATATCGGCAGAACGATCTGCCAGAACTTCTTCAATTCTGAGGAATGTACCATCGTGAAGCTGAACGGATTGGCCTTTCTTGTACACAATTCCATTGAGGCACACCTCAGGCAACCGGCGTTTCTCTGGCCTTGTGATAAGACGGGATCGTACTGCAGGAGTTTGAGGCTCAGCGCGATCTAAGTCCCGCAGTAACAGTTCGTAGGCTTCATCTGTCAGATAGTCACCGGGAGCAAAACCATCCATAGTGAGGTCAATGATCTCGCGCTCTTCGTTTGAAGGTGCGGGATTTGTACGGCCGGGTGGATTCTGTAGGACTTCCTCCGCAAAGCTCAGAGAGACTGCTCTTTCAGATTCATCTCCAAGCGTAACACTACTTTCATCTGAATCGTAGTCACATGCTGTCTGGTAGACGAACGACCACTGTTCGATACGTTCACTTCTGGAGTTGAAGTTGAACATGATCCCAAGCCAGAGCGAGCAGAACGATGTAACGAGTCAAAAAGATGAGTTGGAAGTATCCATCTGAAGAGAACAAGATGAATTCAGTTCAGTAAAGCTGTGGGAGGAGGCCAGCGAAGTCAATGTAGGTGCAGGGTGGGATGAGGAGGAAGGTAGAGATTCTGGAGTGCAGAAGTTGATATAGACTAAAGCATTTGAAAAAGTTTGCAGAAGGAAGAAGAGAAACACAAAAATTTCAGATTCCAGCAGTTATCTGAGACATCGGAGATGTCAAACAAAGAAAAGAGAGTCAAGCTTGAGCCAGCCATAGCCGCTTAGTCGGTGCATTTGGACATCACCACAGTGAATTGTTTCCAGAGGACAGACAAAGGCTGAAATGCGACAAACATGAAAATTAACATGGACTGATTTCAACTGCCATCCTGGTCAGTTCAATTTTCTTTCATAAGCAAGTCTGGAGGTGTGGAGTAGGAATCTACAGCAATCTGGACTGTGCTTGAAGATGTACAGACTTCCCGAAATGGTAAATAGTTCGCCAGACGGGAGGAGAACTCCAGCACAGCAGTCGGCAGTCGATGCCTTAGGCCAGGCCGAAGCCGGGAACGAACTCCCGACCGCTGACCGCCTGCTCCGGCATCGGCAATATTCCTGCCAGAAAGTAAGGTACCGTATGTAAGCAACCGGCCAGCCGGTGGCCCTGGCGGTGTTACTCAGTTAATTTAGTAAACTTAGTAAACTTAGTAAAATTGGATCACAAAATTTTTCCTCTTGGGTTTAGCGCCTCCTCTCGGCTGGTGGTGGGGAAAAAAGAAAATTGGGAACAGCGAGGAGAAGAAATCTATTAAGATGGGATCCCCATTTCTTCCCCTCCTCTCCTCTTTCCCTCCTAAAACTTCTTTAACCATGTTATCCAGCTCACTGTTTCCTCCGTGGACGTGATTCTGGGCATTGTTGCCACCTGTTTCTCCCCTCACTCTCCTTTACATGAATCCTGTTATGTCTCTATAGACGTTTTCGATTCTATCCCACTTTTTTGCAACTCGCCAAGTTCCGGTTTCTACCACCCTACCATCACACTGTGCGTGTACTCCCAAGACTATCTTGAAATATCCCCTTTCAGATGTGAGTCAATTATTCAATGCCTTAGTAAATAACTTTCTCACCCTATCCTTGCCTCCCTGCTTTATGATGAATTTCGGTTTTTTTTATAGATGTTAGACTTCCTAAGCATCATTGCGGACATTTTCCGATCTGATTCAAGCTGCATAACCTTGATTAGCTTTGACAGGAGTTCAGTCTGGAGAATCTTACTGACCTTATCCTGTTCTGTCATATAGAATTCTCTACCGTGAAGATGTGTGGTATTATCGCTTTGATTCAGGCGAACCCGTCGGCTTCCGCTGCCGTCGATCTCCATGAGGCACTCTACCTGCTTCAGCGTGAGTCACTCCGCAGTACACACCAGCAAATACCTCGTGTTCGAGGCTAATCCATGATTCCCGACATGCAGACCGAGGTCAGGATGCAGCTGGTATTGCCACGTGCGCTACCGGCGGTCGTTTCTACCAGCTCAAGTCGAACGGTATGGCCGCCAAGGTCTTCAATGACGGCGCCAGGGTGGCAGACCTCCCGGGTTCTATGGGAATTGGACACTTGAGATATCCTACCGCCGGAAGCAGTGCCAATGCCGAGGCCCAGCCCTTCTATGTGAACAGTCCATATGGAATCTGCATGGCCCACAACGGCAACCTGATCAACGCTCCCGAGCTGAAGAGATATCTGGACCTCGAGGCCCACCGCCACATCAACACCGACAGTGACAGCGAACTGATGCTGAACATCTGGGCGGATGAGTTGAGCGAGACCAAGAAGGCACGTGTCAACAACGAAGATGTCTTTGCCAGTCTGAGCCGCATGTACGAAAGATGCCAGGGTGGTTTCGCCTGCACGGCTATGCTTGCCGGTATGTCAACCCTTGCCCGCGCATCCAGGATCTCAGCTGACCTCAGTAGGATTTGGCATCCTTGGTTTCCGTGACTCCTACGGCATCCGTCCTCTTGTCCTCGGTTCCCGACCCTCAACAGACTGTGATGGCATGGACTACATGATGGCCTCCGAGTCGGTTGCGCTGCACCAGCTTGGATTCACTAACATCCGTGACATCCAGCCAGGTGAGGCGGTCATCATCCAGAAGGGCGCCGAGCCTGTCTTCCGCCAGGTGGCTCCCAAGAAGGCCTACGCTCCTGACATCTTCGAATACGTCTACTTCGCCCGCCCTGACTCCGTCATCGACGGAATCAGCGTGTACCGTAGTCGCCAGCGTATGGGTGACCGTCTTGCTGCCAGAATTCTCGACATCCTTGGACCGGAAGTGGTCAAGGACATCGACGTGGTCATCCCCATCCCTGAGACATCCACCACCTCGGCCGCTGCTGTCGCGCGGTATCTCGACAAGCCATACTGCCAAGGTTTCGTCAAGAACCGCTATGTCTTCCGTACTTTCATCATGCCCGAACAGAAGACGAGACAGAAGGGTGTTCGCCGCAAGCTGAACGCTATGCAAGCCGAGTTCAAGGACCGAAATGTCCTTCTGGTTGATGACAGTATTGTGCGTGGTACGACGAGTCGAGAGATCGTCACCATGGCCCGGGAAGCCGGTGCCAAGAAGGTCTACTTCGCCAGTTGCGCTCCCGAGATCACGTGAGTATTCCCGGCATCCCCGGGGTTCCGGACCGAGACATTCGCTAACGATTCACTACAGCCATGCTCACATCTACGGTATTGATCTGGCATCGCCTACCGAGCTGGTTGCCCACGGTCGCAACGTGATGGACATTGCCAAGCACATTGGTGCCGATAGCGTCATCTACCAGACCTTGGACGATCTGAAGGGCGCATGTGCCGAGATTGCCCAGGAGAACGGCCTCGCTGAGCCTCAGGATTTCGAGGTCGGTGTGTTCTGCGGTAACTACATCACCCCCGTCTCGGATGGCTACTTCGAGCACCTGGAGGAGCTTCGCGGTGAGGGCCGCAAGATCAAGGCCCTGGACCGCGCCAAGGAGGCTGTTACGCATGGCTTCGCCAGTGAGACGGACTTCAAGATGGCTGCCAACGGCGTCAAGCTTGATTCCAATGGCAACATCGTCCCCGCGGCCAATCCCGGCGAGTCGGAGGTGCCCAAGGTGGGCATCATCAGCGCCCCTAAGCACTCCCAGGAGGAGCACCCCAAGGTCAAGGACCGCATGGATATCAGCATTCACAACATGGGCGACCATCACTGATTACGAGGTTATGGCTTGAGTTGATACCAATTGGTGGGGCATACTGCGTGAACCAAGGAGTCTTGGAGTTTTGTAGACGGTGGTTTTGCAAGAACATAGGGTGGCTATCTGCTTGGTGTTTGTGTGTGTGTTCAGTGCATGACAGGTAGGGCGCGGGTTGGAATACCCTTACCTTACCATGATTGTCAAATACCTTTGAAGACATGTTGTTCTGAGATGACGTACTGTTGAAGGGGGCTGAACGGAAGTGATCCCGCCACATCATGTGACCCAACTACACTACTTTTCTTTTTTTGACTCATCTCATGACGATGATGCTACATCCATTGATGATATAATTTGTACATACCGATAGAATTTGCCTAATGCACCTTCCGCGTCGGAAGATCCTGTACATTTCCTGTCTTTTCTGCTAAACCGTCTTGCACCTCCCAGTTTAAAACTTTAGTCCTGTGTTCTACACATTCCAAAAGATCTAAAGATGGTCCGCATAACCCGCTCCACCACTGCGCGCCAGGCAGCATTAGCCGCCTCTCAAGCGCAATCCAGCAACTCTACATCATCCCAAGTCCCGAGCGTCCGCCTTTCCACGACTTCTCCCAGCCAAGGACGAAATCGGTTGCAACGCAACAGTCCCCTCCAGGTCAAGACCGAGGATGCCATCCCGGAACCCGCTCCCAAGCGGCGCAAGAGGAACAATGCCACCACTCCCCCGCAAAACAAGGACCTCAACGACCTCCCTCACAACCTCGGCGCGGTGATATCCCCCACAACCCCGGCCAACTCTCGCATCAGGTCCGAAACCTCCGCCTCCGCCTCTCCCATCAAGAAGGAAGAAGAAGCAATCAACAATCTCGCCAAAGACCTCCAAACCACCGTCGGTAAAGCCACATCGCACAATGATGACGACCTGTCTCCCCCCCGCAAGAAATCCCTCGCAAAAGCAGCGCGAGCGAAAGCGAAAGCGAACCAATACGGCCTGACCCCCGGAGTCAGCCCCTTCCCCGACTGGCCCCACCCGACGCCCGACGAATGCGAAGAAGTCGACCGGCTCCTGTCGTCGATCCACGGCCGGATCGTGGCCCCCGCGACCATCCCGGAGCCCTCGCTGACCGTGACGGGGTGCGGCGAGGTGCCGTCCGTGCTGGACGCGCTAATCCGGACGCTGCTGAGCGGGGCCACGACGGGGAACAACTCGGCCATGGCGTTCAACGGGCTGGTGCAGCGGTTCGGGATCCTGCGCGAGGGGATCGGCAAGGGGAGCGTGGATTGGGATGCGGTGCGGCGGGCGCCGGTGCGGGAGGTCTTTGAGGCGATCAAGCGCGGCGGGTTGGCGGATGTGAAGAGTAAGAAGATCAAGGCGATTCTCGACATGGTGTATGAGGAGAATAAGGCGCGCCGGGATTTGTTGGTTGGTGGTGGTGGTTCGGATGCCGACGCTGATGCTGATGCTGAGGGGGAGGCGTCGGCGGCCCTGGCGGAGGGGGTGTTGAATAACCAGTCCGAGGGTCACAAGAACTACGAGATTGCGTGCGCGGACCAGAACTTCCTGAATCTGAACCACCTGCACACGCTGAGCACGGAGCGGGCGATGACGGAGCTGGTCAAGTATCCCGGCATCGGGCCTAAGACGGCGGGCTGCGTGCTGCTGTTCTGCCTGCAGCGGCCCTGCTTCGCGGTCGATACGCATATCTTCCGCATCTGCAAGTGGCTGGGCTGGGTGCCGCCGAGCAAGGTGACCGAGGTGACGGCGTTTGGTCATCTGGAGGTGCGCATCCCGGACCATCTGAAGTATTCGCTGCATCAGTTGCTCATCCGCCATGGGAAGTCTTGCCCGCGATGTCGGGCTATCACGGGACAGTCTTCTGCGCGGTGGGAGGAGGGCTGTGTCATCGATCATCTGGTGAAGAGGACTGGGAAGAGAAAAGCAGGGGTCTAATAGATGGGCTTGGATCATTGCTTGGGTGTTTAATGGGTACTACGTGTAGAATTATGCTGCGGAACCCCTCCTGGAGATATATATGTACCCCGGATGTTGCTCGTTGCTAGAAAATATCACCTCCCCTATTTTGCTAGACAAGAAAAAAAGCATCGAGCTCTCTTGCTGAATGACACTTATTAGTTCAATCGTGCTACATACACTAATGTGTATATAATCTTCAAGTTGGGATCCTCATACTTGGACCTCGAATCGACCAGTTGAACCCCAAATGAACCCACCGACAGCACGCCCGGTGGCCCGTGCGCCCGCGTATCGGAGGGAGCGATAAACAATCGAACCACCCGGACTCTTTCCCTTTTGTGCCTCCCTCCCGCCCCTCCTGAACTGGTTTCGCCAGAGAAAAAAAAGTGTCTGGCACAATCCAACAGCGCCAGTTCACTCGTTGAAATCTCAACTCAATATGGACACGCTGGCCCAATTCGTTCCGCCGGCTTTCCAGCCCATCGTGGAACATCTCCAGATCCAAGGCCCGTTGTTGGGCGTCGCGTTGCTGTCGCTTGGCGCGGTGTATCTGGGTTACGTCTACGTTCTGAGCCAGAGGGAGGCTGCCGTCACGTTCAACGTGCCCATTCCTGCGGAGATTAGAGCTAATTGGGAAGGGAAGAAATGGAATCAGCTTGATGGAGAAGCGAAGAGGGTGGTTGAGGGGCAGGTTCGAGGGGTAAGTTTATTGTCCGTTTTCTGCTTGTGATTCGGCAGATCAGAAACTCATTCGAAATGATACCTGAAATAGCAATGGAACGACAACCTGATCATGAGCTACTGTCCCGCTGATGGAAGAGTTCTCGGCTCTGGAATCAAACCTGCGACCCCGGAAGACGTCGATCAAGCGATTAAGGCGGCAGCAAAAGCACAGGCAGAATGGTCCAAGACTAGCTTCGCGGAGAGGAGGAAGGTTCTACGGACTTTGCTGAAGTACATCTCTCTTTGTGTGTCCTGAGAGACTCTGTTGCTAACACTCGGGCCCGCAATAGATACGTTCTCGACCACCAAGACGAACTCGTTACCGCCTGCTGCCTGGACTCTGGAAAGACCAAGGTGGACGCTTCCTTCGGAGAAATCCTGGTGACCACTGAGAAGCTTAAATGGACCCTCGACCACGGTGAAAAGGCTCTGACGCCGGAATCGCGCCCTACGAACTTCCTCATGATGTACAAGAAGAACATGGTCACCTACGAACCTCTGGGCGTGATCTCGGCCTGCGTTTCCTGGAACTACCCCTTCCACAACTTCATCTCGCCCGTAATCAGCGCTATCTTCGCAGGAAACGGCATCGTGGTGAAGCCGTCCGAGCAGACGGCCTGGTGCACGACTTTCTTCCTGGAGGTCATCCGCGGCGCCCTGACCAGCTGCGGCCACCCTCGCGAGCTGGTCCAGAGCGTCGTCTGCCTTCCGCGTGTGGGCGACTACTTGACCTCCCACCCAGGCATCTCCCAGCTCACCTTCATCGGCTCCCGCCCCGTGGCGCACAAAGTCTGCGCGTCCGCCGCCAAAGCCCTGACGCCTGTCACCGTGGAGTTGGGCGGCAAGGACCCGTCGCTCATCCTGGACGACTCGCGCACCGTGCATGAACTACCGGCCATCGCTTCAATCCTCATGCGGGGTGTCTTCCAGTCCGCGGGACAGAACTGCATCGGCATCGAACGCATCGTCGCCCTCCCCGGCGCCTACGACCGGCTTCTGGACATCGTCTCCGCGCGCATCGCCAAACTCCGCCTGGGCTCCGTCCTGTTGTCACCCCAGGGCGCCCCTGACGTGGGCGCCATGATCTCCCCGGCCTCGTTCGATCGACTGGAATCCCTGATCCACGACGCCGTCAAGCAGGGCGCCCGCCTGGTTTGCGGCGGAAAGCGGTTCTCCCACCCTGAGCACCCACTCGGCCACTACTTCACCCCCACGCTGCTCGCGGACGTCACACCGGAGATGCGCATCGCGCAAGAGGAGCTCTTTGCGCCGGTCTTCGTGCTGATGCGCGCCAGCTCGGTGCCGCATGCTATTGAGATCGCCAACTCGACTGAGTACGGCCTGGGTGCCAGCGTCTTCGGCTACGACCCGCGGGACACCGCCCGGTGCATCAAGGAGATTCGGTCCGGGATGGTCTCGGTCAATGACTTTGGGAGCTACTACGCGGTGCAATTGCCGTTCGGCGGCGTCAAGGGCTCCGGGTACGGCCGGTTCGCGGGCGAGGAGGGCCTCCGCGGCGTGAGTAACCTCAAGGCCGTGTGCGTGGATCGGTTCCCGAAGTTGATGGCGACGAGAATCCCGCCGCGGGTGGACTATCCGATCAATAAAGGGGAAGGTGCACGGGAGAATGGTACGGGGGCGTGGGAAATGTGTAAGGGCGTGGTGGAGACGGGATATCAGATTACGTTGGCGGGCAGAGTGAGAGGCATCCTGCGGTTGTTAGGGAATATGTAGGGCTGGACTGTATCTCTACGCGGGGCGTGTATACCTGTATATTAGGGCGGGGAGTTGGCTGTATCATATTAGTTACATATACATTAATCATATCGCTGCATGGACTTCAGTGATCGACAGTTCTGGCCCTGCTCTGTTACCATTTGACGAGGATGACTGCCAAAGTGACATACATCCACCAGGACCAGCTCACCAGCCAAGTCACCAGCCTTACTCATAATCACCACCTGCGAACTGCAGGATCATCCTCCGAACCTCTGCAGGGGCACCGCCAACTACGTATGAGGATTGCCAGCAGCCCAGAGTATCCCGTCGCAAATAGGGCTGAGTGGCTGGCCCATTGCTATCTATTGACATCATCAGTGGTAAGTTTTACTGCATAAGATGTAATAAGTACAGCAGCGCAGATCACCATCTCCCGCGGCGGCGGCGGTGCCCGCCCTCCGACGAAAACGCGCAACACAACAACATCATCTCGGCCAACACTTTCCACAAACGAACGGACGAGGCTTACCCCTGACAAGCCCAACCTTAAGACCAAGGGTTGTACTAGGGTCGTACTATGTCATAAGCACTGCATCCACCTTTCGTAGACTTTTTACCCCAGACCAAGTGGAGACTTGTGGACTTGTGGACTTGTGTCCCCTTCATGCCCGAAAGTCAGGTATCCATGATGTTATACTGGCTGTGCTCCATACCGAGATATGTCATTGGCTTGTTGCCATCAGAAAAGCTAAGGATCACGTGCGACTGTGCCCCTTAAACCCTCTTCAAGAATTAGAATGCGAACCGTGCTTTGGCAGTATGAGTACGTCCTGTGGTGGACTGACGTATGACGTCACACCGTGAAGTAACCCTCAGCCGCTGTCCAGATGTGAGTGCGCAAAAGGTGCAGTTCTAAGGAGGATGTGGTTCTCGAACCTGCCAGCCTTATCGGTGGCGAGACCCTGTCCTCACTTAGTGCCTCTACATGATCCTATAGTCCAGTTTAGTGATAGTAAGGGTAGTGTACCGGAGTAGTACGCTCGTCACGATCCGCAAGGGTTTTTCCCATTTCCGCATTAGGAGGGTCAACCAAAGCCTGGCATGGCGCCGATGCGAACCACACAGTCACAAAAAAAAAACGATGTCATATGTCGTTATGACGGCATCATTGCTTGCTTGCAATTTGCAGTTTCTGTCCCGTGTTTGATACTCGGTACTCCGTAGTGTGCTGATCTTTTTTCCTTTTTTCTTTCGTTGTGGCATGTACACTACACTAACCTCACTACACACACACACATACATCATTCGAGAGACTACGAGAACCAACCCTTAAGTCTGTCTGGCTGTGCCCTCCCTGCTTCGGATATTTATACTTCACTCCCCTCCTCCTCAGGAACCAGATCCAAAAGCATACAATGCGTCCTTTCACCGATACCACTGTCCACACTACTGCTTCTTCGAGTTATTCGTCCCAGGGAACCAAGACTGAGAAATAAGTGCCGATTACTTGCCACTGCCATTCCTAAAGACAACAAGCAAAGCTATACCTACAACTACACCACCACTACACTACCACAACTACACCACCACTCCACACACAGATACCAAACCCAAGAAAACATAAAACAAAATGGGCGCCGTCGTCTCCTGTGTACGTCCCCTGGCTTGGGCATTCTTCCCGAAGGTGAAAGCTAAGCGACCTATGTGCTAACAATCTCCACCAACAGATCCAAAGCGTCTTCCACGCCATCGGCGCCTGCCTCATGGGCATCGTCAACACCATCGGCTCCGTCTGCAAGGCCATCATCGACGGCATCGTCACCCTCTTCGACGTGATCATCTCGTGCCTCACCTGCGGGTACTGCGGGAACCGGCGGCGGACGCGGACGCACGGCCGGAGGTCGAGGGTCTAGATCTTGCCTGAAGAAGATGTGAAGAGGAGGGGGAAAGATACCCTGCTGGGATGGGTTGGGGGTTCGCTATACCCTTTCTTTTTATTCGTGGCTCGGATTTGATCTACCCTGATCTGATCTGATCTTCGTTCTAACGAGGTTACGACTTATGGACTGCGCTGGTGGTTTTCGTTTGCGTGTTTCATTCCGTTTCGTTTCGAAATCGTTTACTTGTCTCTTGTTGGTGATGATGATTTTGATATCCTATCCTGAAGTTTTTATGGATTCTCTTCCTTGAATTAATATGATTCTTTCCATATCTACATCCCATATGTTTATGCATATGCATAATGATAATGTAACACTGTCCCGAGATTAGAGTATCAACCGCTTCCGCCCACATTATACATGATAGTAAGAGAGTCCTCCTCCCCTTCTCATCGATATACATCTACTGCAAGAAACCCAAGTACGCCCCCCATGCCCGCCTGCACCAACAACCCCCTCACCCTCTCCCCCTCCTCACTCGTCAGCCCCCCTTCCCCATCCCCCAACCTCTCCTCCACCAGAACCCTCACAAACCCATCCCCCGGCCCATCCGCATACTTCACCGCCGCGCAGAAATGGTTCACGGAGACGGGCCACGGCACCGGGAAATCATACCAGGGCACCCGCACCCTCAACCGGAGGAGCGTCCGGAAGACCGCAAACTCCCGCGCCCGGATCGTCTGCCGCAGCACGCGCCGGGACCGGTCGTGCGCCGGCGTGTCGTCGAGGGACGCGTCGGCCGCCAGCAGCGCCAGGAACTCGAGCTTGG